GGTGCTTACATCGGCACCGAAGCCATAGACTGGAGTGCGGTGAAGCGACTGGATCGCGCGCTGGGCGGCGTCGATGGAATCGAACTCAATCCGGAAGATCAGGCGCATTGCATCATGGACAGTGTCGACGTGGACGACGTTGCGAACATTGCCGAACTCCCTCGCGATGAGGTCGACTTGGTTCTTGATGTCCTCGTAATCGTCGTTGGTGAACTCCCACACGGCGTGCTCGGGATTGGCGTCGATGAACATTGACAAGAACATCTGGCCTTCGTACGGTTGGATATCGCGGATGTCCTTGGCCATGGACCGGGCGAGGTCGTCCATGGTCGCGTAGTGGGTTGAGAAGCCGGCCTGAATGAGGAGATCCCGAGCTTCGATAGCGTCGGAAAGGCTATCGAATCGCATGAAGATAGCGGCGTGAGGGTCTTGAAGGAAGATAGCCGAGTGCTTGAAGCAGTCGTACTACAAGAGGTTAGTGTGAAGCATGGTGGAGGAAGGAGACGACACTTACGCGCTTCATCTGGTTCTGGACCAGGAACTTCAAGTGCTCAGCATCTTGACCGCCTTCGACGTACAGGTAGCGAGAGACGAAGGTGTTGTTGAACTCATCGAGTTCATCGACGAAGGCACCCTCGACATACGCCGGCGGCTCCGGAAGAAATTTCTTGGCGGCCTGCTTCCCAATGGGGATAGCAGTAAGTTGACGACGGTGGTTGGGCTTGCGCTCGACATCGGGGGAGTACACGGTTGGGTTGGTACCGTCAAAGGGGGATGAAGGAGGACCGTTGGCCGACGAGGAGTTGGGTGAAGGGTGAGACATCTTTGGATGTTGAGGAAGGGTCTTGATGTTGTACAAGAGGTGGATGTAAAGAAGGCAAGAGATGGATGATTGGCAAAGCTCAAGCAAGGAGTCTGTCAATATCAGGTGGGGATGGGGATGTGGGTGGGTGTGAGTGGGCAAGAGGTGGAAGGCGCGGGGGAAGGGCTGTTTATATACTGGCGCCAGCGCCGAAGCTCCGGAGGTCAGGTGACGGCAGTATCTGAGGCCAGAGAACTCACCGTTCGGATTGGGAGCAAAAGAGTCAGAGAGAAGGTCGTGGTGAGGAAGTCGCGGCGAGGCCTGGCGGAGGAACTGGAAGGAAGCGATTCGGATATCCCACAACTCCAGAAGAACCATCAACCGGACGGGGCCAGACGAGCACGAGGAGATAGCGCTCGGCGAGCTCTACAACTTCTGTTTTTCAGGTATACGAGGCATCAATGGAGTTGGTGATGCATCGCAGCTGCAAGACGAAGCCTGAGGTTGAAGTTCCATCCCTCAACCGCCTTTGCACGATATCCCGAGGACCCACTCACCGGTTCTAGCGTCGTCCAGGCCGTCTGACCGCCTACTAGCGGGCACCGGAGGGGCAGGATGACGGGAGGGGCAGGAGCGTGAAGAAGCGCCGGAGATGTGAAAGTGCGTGAGAATGGTGTCAGAAGAAGTCTGCAGCGAGTTGGAAGATATAGGGGAGTGCTATGAGCTGTCTCGAAGCCTACGTGGCATTGCTAAATCTCCCTCTCAACCACGTGGAGGTGAGAGAAATTGCAAGATTTCATTGACCGAAAGCTGGAGAAACCACTGGGACACGCGTTGAAAGCATGTTGGTGGATCTCACGATGTCCGCGGGGAGCTCATGAGGCCGGCACATGCACATCGTCAGCTGGAAGCGTGTGCAACGAGCGGGGGGCGATCAAGAGCATGATTCCCAGCCGCGTAAGCTTCTCCGCGTCATTTTGTTTGTTGAGGCAGCAGTGGCTGCTTGTGGCAGGCATGGAACAAACACGGTCATTCTAGGAAGGCACGTTGAAGCGGGGCGGAGAGCAACTCCAAAGCTGAACATCGTGGAGACGGTGAGACTCTAGAAAGCGTGGCATCGGGAACCAGCTTCTTGAGAAACACAACCTCACCCCTGAGATTCTGCAGCTTCTTGTGAATCCAGAGGCCACGGGGATGTGCTGAGCCGGCTGGGCGGGCAAGAGCGACTCCAAGCATGCGGACCGCTTCACAGGGGCGCGGGCATGACTAATTGCATGATTGGGATTGGGATTGAAGACCGCCACGAGAAGGACGAGAAGATCATCAGTAGAAACTCAGCATTCTGTGGTGCCCGCTGCTCTTGAGCGCGCTTCGTGGCTGCCAAAACGGCAGGAGCTACCATTCGCGACTCCAGGCGTGCAGACTGCTTCGCGGGGGCGCCGACGGGATCACTGGCATCTCCGAGACTGACGGCGACGTTGAACCCGAGGAGAGGCTCATCAAGAGGCACTCCGCATTCCGTAGTGACCTGTCCTCTCGAGCGCGCTTCGTGACGGCTAAAGGGGTGGAGCCTGCCGATTCGCGACTCCAGGATTGCGGCCAGCTTCAAAGGGGCGCAGACATCGTCACTTGCATTTGTAGGAACGAAGACTGTCTCCAAGCCGACCTCGACTCGTCAGCAGGAACCCAGCACTACATGTGGGCTCTGCTGTAGAAAGCGGTCCGCGACTGCCTCAAGGGCGGGGCTACAAGTTCGCGACTCACGGCAGGAGCGACGACAGCAAGAGGCAGATTGGCCTTCTGGCACGTAGACTGAACGGTAAAATTTACTGGACATTCACGGGAAAACCGCTGCTCGAATGGCGAATCTCGACATCCTCCGTGAAAAGGAGACCTGAAGACCCTCGCGACCCCCGCGACAACGACTTGAGCGACCGGGGAGGGTATAAACAGCTTCAGACTCTACTTTGGCATCACAAGAAGCATTCAGTCACTCAGGAACATCGCATGACGGACGTGGACCGCTCATCGCGAGGCTGCGCGAATGGCCCCTTCAAGGCTCAGGGTCTGGCGGCCTGGCAGAGCGCGCGACGAGAACATCACGACCTTTGCGGCAGGCAGGCACGAGCGACTTCAAGAAGCAGATCGGGAGCGCCTACTGCTCCTGATTTATGTCTACTGCATTGCTCCTTTCCCTCAGACCAATTCCGTCATGTTGGCTGTCCGTGGCCAAAGGCTCAACTCCACAAGACAGGTCAGGGAGACCGCACGACGAGACCATCACCACCCTCATCAGGAGACTATGCGACTCGGGAAGCCAGCAAGTACGCGGAGATCATGAATTGGCCCTGGTCTGTAGCTACTGGACTGCCCCTTTCCTGGTAAAATCTTATCTACCGTGTGCGTTGTCCGTTGCCCGTCAACCATCTCCGCCTCCCCTCAACTCCAGCATCAGTCCAACTCTACGCCGCCTGTCGCGTGATAGCATAGAGCTGCTGCCATAGGCGTCGGGGGCGCAAGGCGAGAAGGATTGTCAGCCTCGTCGCTGGTGGACAGGGCGCTGCCTCCGCTGTCCGACTCGACTGCGACATACCCTCGACCCAAGGGCTGGCAATTGAGTACAAGAACCTTCTCATTGTCTCGCCCTATAGTATCCTTCCTATTGTGTGCCTCCACATGTTCCTGTTGTGCCTCCACTTTGTATACTCGGTCTCATCGTACGGTCGGGGCGCTCGTGGTAGCGGCTTGAGGCGTATACGATCGTAGGTTGGGAGGACGACGGCGGTGTCTCGAGGGAGGGCGGCAGCTACATGGCGCTGTAGATGGGCTCGTCGAAAGGCGTCGCCGTGACGAGGGCGTCGGGGTAAAGTATGTACTTCACCCTCGCAGACGCATACCCCACTTCGGACATCCTACACCAAAACATTAGCTCACCTCCCTCTCAATAGCAGCAAACAGTCCTCCCAGCCTCGCTGAACAACGCCGTCACCGTCACTACGCGTAAAGCGCTCAACAATAGCGAAGCCAGACCGTCGCCAAACGCAGTCTTGGCACCCCCAAATCGCCCACATAAAAGCTCGAAAACCAGCTTCCCCAACACCCCAAACCAGCACCAACAAGCCCATCACCACCATCACAACAAGCTCAATTACCACTACCACTACTACTACTACTACTACTACTACTACTACAAACCCACCTTCCCTCCTCACCCCCGCATCTCCATCAACACAAAGATGGAAAACTTCACCATCAACCTCTCCGACCTCCACGTCCCCTCCCTCGCGGAGTTCCCGCACCTCCCGCCCGCCTCCGACTCGGCGGCGCAGAAGCGCCTCTACTGGTTCTTCCGCGGCCTCGAGTCGATGCTCGAGCGGCACCTGTGGCGCATGGAGCCGTGGCTGGATTTCCTGAAGACAACGGGGCTGCACGAGGACGAGGTTGCGGAGTTTGATGAGCTTTGGCGCCAGAAATGCGTGCTGGAGGATGCGGTCAATTGGGCGGGCAGGCTGTATGGTGGGGAGGAGTATGAGGAGGCGGTTTGATGTTGTAAGTTTTATTGTCAGATGGTTTAAATTGGTGCGGTTTTGCTAATTTGGTTTCACAGATTTGGGAGTCTTCGGTGGGGATTGGTGGCCGGGCGGGTGTGAGAGGGGAAGAGGCGTTTAGGAATGTGTTTTGATACCCAGGTTTTGTTTTTTCGGTGGGCGTTTGGGCTGGTGGTGGGATTGAGGTTGGGGGGTTAGTAGATGCGGCAGCTATGATGAGCGTAAGTCCGCGAATGAACTTGATTACTCTTGCATTTTGACTTGTCATTGATGTTGTGTACCTGGGATGTGTTCAATGTTTTTGTGTTGGACTATCTCTCAACCTCCGCCTCTACGTAGTTATTATGTACTATTAACAGACTCGAGAACGCCAGTCTGAGGACACCATGTCTTCGACGGCATGCGTCATAATCTTATGAAGTCACTTGAACCTCACACTGACTACCTCCCCGCGACACGATCCACAAACTTCCATCACATAAAAATACATCGAAGGCATACAGGCCTCACACAACGTTTCACAAAATCTCAAACCGATTCAGACAAACATGAATGTCAATAGCCATATACTAGGGTATCACACAATCCAAACGCCTCCTAGTACGCTCAAATACCCAAATCCACATACCCATCTCCAAGAAGACCCCAGCTTACTTCCTACCCTCCCCCTCCCCCTCAAACATCCACCTATCATCTTCCAAACTAGCCACCTTCTTCTTGAGACTACTCTTCAACGCAACCCGAATCTCTTCTTCCACAGCAACAGCATCCCATTGTGCGTTTGTCTTGCCGTAGAGTTGTATCATTTCGTTTTCTTGCTCTGTTCACATTCGTACGTCAGCATTTCCTACACCCATCTCACACCGACTCCGCCTCGTCACGCCCAGTGCAATAGAAACGGGATCAACATACCACCCTCCTCATCCCCCTCACTCCCTACACCCATCTCCCTGTACACAGGCGCCGGCGCTTTGACAATGTATTCACCAATGTCGTCGCGCTCGACGAACTCGTCTTCGGTGGGCTGCATGAAGATGTCTTGTTCTATCTCGCGGCTGTCGGGGCGGATGGAGGGTGCGGCTTGGTTCTGGCGTCGCGCGGGTTGTTGTTGCGGTTGTGCCTGTTGTTGCTGGGCGGTGTGGGCGGCGAAGATGTTGCGGCGGGTTGTTGGGGGGAGGCGGATTGCGCGGTTGTCCATGGTGGGTTGGTTGTATGGGGATGTGAGGTTGAGCAGGTGTTTTGTTCGGAGAGGTGTAAGGCGGGATGTGGAGTGAGGTTGGATGTTGATGGTGGTTTGGTGTTGGTGGGATAGATGGCGCGCCGTAGTTAGTCAGGTACAAGCGTTTGGTGGGGCGGCTGGGGTTTGGCATTGCGACACTCCCGCGGCGAAACCTGAGGCGCGTCTTCGTGACACCGACAGCAAACAACGGAATCATGGCTTCTACGGATCTTCCTGCGCAATCGCCAAGCCCACCGGCGGATACAGAAGATCGATCGCCGCCCCGGAAACGGCCCAGAACTCGCGCGCCTCCGAAAGCAGCTGCTCCAGCCTCGACTCCGGCGACGAATACAGACATGCCGAGTGCTAAGAGCACGGCTCCGGGGCCCGATACTCCAGTTCATCGCTTCTCGATACAGCCTGTCAATCGCTTCCGTGGCGCGTCGGCCAAGATCAAGCGCCCTCGTGAAGTCGCACACTTCTCATACGACGACAACCACGAGTACCAGCATGATGAGTCGGGTATCAACTACTACATACCACCTCCAATGGGCGCGGATTTGAAGGAAGGTTTCGAGACGTTCAAACACTACGAAGACAAGGAAGACCCACATCTGGACAGTCTACTGAGGGCGCTCATGGAAGACAAGACGGGCAAGGAGGAAGTCAAGGCCGACTTCATGACCTGGCGAGGCATGATGACCAAGGTATGTTGAAGCAGACCGGCACAAGACATAGCAAGGTAAGCGAAACCAGCTTTCTTACCTTGCTGCCACTTTTCCTCCAGATCAGTTCCTAACACCCCGCCAGATCATGACCGCCCCCTTCGACAACTTCGCCGAATTCAGCATGTTCGCAACCCTCCACAACAACACCATCTACATCGAAGAAGACTTCCCATCTCGAGCCGCCGACCGCGCAGCAGAAAGCACGCGCCCACCTCCCCGCCACCAACATCCCGACCAGCAATCGCGCGAAATGATGACATACTGGGGTTACAAGTTCGAGAAACTCGCCCTCATACCAACGCTACCTCAAGACACGCCACGGCAAGAAATTGAGCGATCCCAGAAAGGCGTCGTGTCGAACCACGCGCAACACTGCTCCATCGTCCACACATCCTTCGGGCCCCATAGCCTCATCCTAGGCGGCGAAGTCGACGGCCTCCTCGCGCCCAAACCCACGAACCCGGATGAGCAGGTTCAATGGGTCGAACTCAAAACAAGCGAAGAGCTTCCTCCCCCTCGCCAACAACAACACCGCGACATCCTGAAATTCGAACGCAAGCTTCTCAAATTCTGGGCCCAGTCGTTCTTGCTCGGCGTACCTAAGATCACCGTGGGCTTTCGGAGTAAAGCAGGTATTTTGAGGAGTCTGCAGACGTTCAACACGCATGAGATACCGGGTATGGTGCGTCAGGGCACGAACTGCTGGGACGGGAATGTGTGTATTAATTTCGCGACGGAGTTTCTGGGATGGTTGAAGGGGGTTGTGGTGGGGGAAGGTATTTGGAGTGTCGTGCTGAGGAAGAAGAGTGGGGCTGTGGAGGTGAGGAGGGTGGGTGATGGGACGGGGGATATTGTTAGTAAGGAGTTCAAAGTGTTCAAGAGTAAGGGGTCTGAAGCTGCGCAAAACGGCGGAGAGGAAGGCGAGGCGCAAAAAGATGGAGATACTGTGGAGCGTGTTGTAACATCCTGAATGCGTATCTTAGCTATGGCTCCAAGAGGGGTTGCGTGGGTAAATTTACAGTCTAGTCTAAAGGGCGAAGTTGCTCATCTTGTCGCGTGCAACAACGAAACCTTGGTTGGCATGAGATATCCACCAGCACGCAGCCACTATGATCCCAAGCTTTAGCTTTGACTTTTCCCTTTTTATTCATAACCAGCCTGCATCAATCCCCAACACATGATAATACCCAGATACCCTGAAAACACATCCAAAAACATCCAACACCAGACAACTCCATCACCTCCAACCTTCGCACTTTGTCTTCGACAACCCCAACGTATACCTCATAAACATCTATAATGCCACCCACCCAAACCACCTCCGCACGGCATACCCGTACCCGTCGCTTCATCCCCACCCCCTGCATCCACCCCGAAGCCCGCCTCCTCAACCAGGACATCTTACAAGAGATGGTACAGCGGGACATCAAACAAGCCCCCCACCAGCAACCCCAGCAATCCCAACCAGACCCCCAACTCCAGCACATCGACAACCTCTTCGAACGGTGGGACAAAGCCGTCGAAACGCAAAAGGAGTTAATTCGGTGGATAAACGGCGTTAAGAACGAGCGTGAGAGGGAAGAGGCTAGACGGGTGTATGATGAGGTGGGGGGTGAATGGGAGGATTTGGGTGAAGTTTATGGGAGAGAAGGGGGTTGGTATGTTTTGGGTGAGAGGGAGGGAGGGGTGTTGGTGAGGTGGAGGTGGAAGAGACGGGGGGATGCTGAGAAGGGAGGGAGGGTTGTTAGGTGGTTGGGTGGGGTGGTGTAGTCGTTGGTTATTTGGAGAGAGGGGGAGGAGATGGCAGGGGTGGTGTTGTTGTGGACTTATTTCCATTCTTCTTCGCCCTCCAGCTCATCGATGTATGTGTCATCGTCCATAGGTTCTTCTTGCACCCATCGCGCTGCCAATCTTCCAGTCTCTTCTCCTACTCTTTGCGTCCTGCTAGCCGGTACGACGTTCATGCCATGATTCGCATCAGTAACAACAACGAGCTGCGATTTCGCCGTCAGCTTATCCCTCGTTTCGTTCAGCGTATCGATGGGACACATAGCGTCTTCGTCGCCGCTAATAAAGAGTATGCGGACGCTCTTGGGTAAGTCAAGGAGAATCTGATCGCGGAGTTCGTCTTTAGGACCGAGGAGTGGGTAAGAAACGAGTATGAGCTGTATGCTCAGCCCTTCTCTTTCTTCGTCATTTAGCTCAGCTAGATGTTCGGTAGCAGCGATGACAGCGGCGCGCGCACCCATGCTTCGTCCGCCTAGTAACAATGTTTTCGATCCAGCTGTGTCCTCTTTTGCTCCCTTTTGTGCGATCGACTGACTGGAGTTCAGCTCATCGATGCATGCGTGAAAGCCTTTCGTCCGCGCTTTGAGATTCATCGAGCCTTGGAAAGCGAGAACGGGGAGAGATGAGGAGTATCCGGTGCAGAAGTTTACTACTGCGTCGGCTGACAGTGTGCCGCCTGCGCCATGAGTGAAAATTAGGGTTGGTGATGGGGTGGATGGCGATGATATGGGAGTGTATTGGTGGCACTCTATCGGTTTCTTGACGAGGTCGTGCGTTATGGTGACGGTTGTGTAATTTTGGGGTGTTGCATCGCTGTGTTCCAGTGGCTGCGCGCCTGCTTCTGATCTCGCATCTTCAGAAAGATTACTTGTTACCTCATCGATGCGCGATGTAGTTGCAGCTGTCTGTGCAGCTGCACGTGTGCCGCCCTGGCTTCGAGACGTCGCTGCATTTAGTCTTGTTGACGCGCGTGTGACGCGCTTCTTTGGCTCGGATGTCGCTGCTTGCTCATGCATCTTGCGCTTCTTGGGGGCCATCTTCTGGTTCAAATCATTATTTGTACACCCGCAAGTAAATAGTGGAGGATGCAGAGCGGTTGAAGTCGATGCGACGTGACGGTCGCGCGAATTAATATATATGCCCCACTACACGTCACCAGCCCCCCGGATTTCCCCAACGACCTCTACTAGACACAATTTAGGCTCTGTCGAAGCGCCATACGAACACTGCCCACAAAGGTGTGGCAATTGCCATCACTGTGAAAAATGGAACGGAAGCATTCTGCCAATCGCCTGGAGAGCGCTGCAACCTGTCGGCCCAGAACCATAATGTCGGGATTATCGCGAGTATGAAATACGAGAAAGACATCGCGAAGGAGATGTCGTGTTCGGCTACGATTCCAAAAGCAACTCTGTCCGGGTTGTGATGATACATGTTGAGCGCGCTTTTTCTCCTAGGAAGTCTTTTCCAGTATTCAGCATATGTACCCAGTCGTCTGGGCTTGTGCAAGACCGTGGGAAGTAAACACCATAGACAGTTATCGCCGCACGCTCGGAGGCACGCAGTAAAAGCGTCTCGACTCATCAAGGGGATTTTGGCTTCTGGCGGCTTCGGATCGTACACATAATGATCGATGTGAGGACGGTAATCTGGCAACCTTTCTAAACCACAGACTGCTTGTCCCGGGCTGAGTATGTCAAACTTCGTAAGTTAGACCTGATAACGATATGAGGTGAGTTTTGGACTTGCCTCAACGACCCGACAATGGCGGAAACGGAAGGGCGACAACCAGCGCTGTAATGACCAGGTGTTCTCAACGTATTTCGTCCAGAGTTCTTTAAAGAACGTTCGGTCGTTGGTATTACTCGACATAAGTATCTGCTCAATTGTAACATTGACATTAACAGTTTTGACACCAAAAACCATCCATGAAATCTTCAACGACGTATTGGGCGTACCGCTTCCTCCACCTCCGCCACCCCCAAGAGTTGTGGGGTTGCCGACATTACTTCCGGGTGGAGATAAGCTCGCAGGAGATTTTGAGCCTTGCGCGTTCGCCCATCGACTAGACGAGCCCAGTACGTTTGCTGGGAGAGTCGGGAGCTGTTGGGAGTTCGATGATTGTGGCTGAGCATTTGCCGGATCACTGGGCCTCATCCGACTTACTAAATCGGCCATATAACGATACATCTTGTTTGGTATCGTGGTTTGGTTGGCATGATACGCTGATGTCTCACAGCATAGACATTTCACAGGATGCTCATCGCACAAGATCAGAGCTCCTTGGATCTTCTCAGCTTCTACCGCTGATATCGCCTGCCATTGCTTGTGTCCACAGAGCTGTAAGAGTTAGTACTGTGGATAGGGGGACGACAAACTTGTACTAACTTCCCATCCAAGTAAGCGTTGGCAATCCTCCATGACATTAGGAATTCGTGGCTGAAGAGGCCACCAGTCCCAACCGATCTTGGATCGGTCTTCGATGTAGGCTTTGATCGTGTTCGACAAAGACTTATCGTTCCCGCGCAATTGAATCGAAGATGTCGGAGTAGTTTCCAGTATCTGTTTCAGTGTCTTCGGCAAGGCTGATAGACTCAAGCATAGGGCCAATCCTTGGAAAGCCTTGGACTCGTGCAGACAGCGTTGCACGCGTTCGAGATCAGCAAGATTAGACATGACTGCGGTGACGTTTACCCGCTCCAGCTCGTCACCATCGTCTACTTGAGAGTCGGCTTCACTATCAGTGTGTTCGTACCGTTCTTCATCAAAATGTTCAGACTGGTCACTACTGAGATGGCCGTGCCGAAAACTTCCTCCGTCTAAGGGTAGATCCCAACCACCGACTGTTTCCACAAATGATGAAACATGTGAGTTGGCCTTTAACCACTGGAAAGTGCCAGCACCCTTATCGCCATCCGATGCAGTCGTCACTTCTCGTGCTATGAAGTAACGGGTCGATTGCAATTTCAGAACTGCGATAGCACGTTCTTCTTCGCCGTGATGTGGCAGCTCCTCGTGTGAGATATCCTCTGCAAAGCGTTTCAAAAGCTTACAATAAAGCTTTTCGAAGGCGTTCAGTCCGAGATGGGCTATGGCAGTACCGTACAGCGGCTGTAAGATGTCCGACTCTCGGAACATGACCGCAAGCTGTTGAACAGCAGGACCATATGCCACAAGAGTGTCGGTGGTCTCATTAGTCGCGATAGTCTTATCAGTCGCGGTGGTCTCGGTGGTCTCGGTCTCGGTGGCCTTGTTGGTCTTGTTGGTTTCGTCGGGTTCGTCGAGTTTGTCGGTTTTGTCGGTTTTGTCGTTTACGCGTTTTTCGTTGTTTTGGTTGTTTTGGATAATTATGCTACCCCCAGCTCGAGGCCCTTGACCGACCACCACCACCTGGAAGCTTTCACAGCCGGGTTCGTCAGATTGGCATAGACGTTGAGCCATGTCTTGCTTAAAGAACTTCCCCGCTCTCTTTCTAACAAGCTCTGGACACAGCACGACGATCCAAGGCCGAGCTGAGCTCTCGTCGTGTCCCAGAAACATCAGCCGAATAGCCATGGGTCGATGCTCATGTCGACTTCTGCGCAGATAGGCAGCTAAAGGGCCAGAAAGGCGCTTCATGACGTCCTCAAAACGGCTCTGTATCTCTTCGCTTAGCGTCCGTTGGAATATGTGCATACCGTGAATTGTATGAGAAGCAAGAGAGGTTGCTTTTGATACAAGACGTGGTTCTTGAGGCATCTTCGAAGCGGAGCTATTCGGGGTGGGCGCTGCTGCTTGGGCTGACAGAGCACTAGGGCTTCTTGGTGAGCTTCTGTAGCCCGAATCTGCAGCAGAACCATTCTTCAGAACTTGCGATTGAGATGGTGTGGGCCGCGGGGTCTCCATGTTGTCGGCGTGGGGATTCCAGGCGTGGAAATTTCGATATGTGGTGACAACCGGCGTGACAATGATCTTATGGGGCGGTACGAGAAGGCCGCATACTCCGTACATCTGCGTCGCAACCGGTGAGCCAGAAAGATCAATTGCGGGCTGTGTGCATGCGAATCAGCTACTCGAATGAGCGCCGCTTGATGATTGGGTGCGCTCAGGACGAGTATGCACGTTGCGGATTCAACGCCCAATGAAGCTGCAGCCACTAACCTTAGGCTATGCATCATCCGCCACGCAGCATAAGTACATATAAGCGCATAACACTGTCCTCAAGCAAGCATAGCTGAGTGCTTCAAGCCAAGCTCCCGTTGGTCTTTGCTTACATCATCATATGGCTGAGGGAGTCGACTTTTTCCCCTTGCAATTCACGACCGACAGTGATTTGCAGGAATTGGGCCGGTGTCTGTGGGGATGGGGGCTGTGTGGCTGTTGTACAGGAAAACCGTCATGTTTCGACGCGCAATGTTCCTGGAGCCGAGCGAAGCGACAGGCTGCTTTTTGGGCTCGTTACAAAACCTTGACGGCAACATACGTACCTGAGCTATTCACTCCGCACCCAGCATTGAGGCCGCATGGCGACCTCTTGGACCTGATTCAGCTTTTCCAAAGTCAGCCCCATAGCACGCGAGAACAGTTGTTCCAGCACCATTTTGCGGGGCAGCGAACCAGCGATGCAGAAGTTCCTGCTGTATCGGATCAACATCGCGCTGTGGATCTTGCAGCCAGCATATTGTTCTTGGTTGATTGCGGGATTACGCGCGAGCATGCTAATCTTCTGGAGGAAGGTAGCTCATCACTGCCATGGCGAGATACAGTGTCAGCGCATGACTTCCTTCTGGAAGCCTTTCCAAAAGGGCCCAGTTCTTCGATCGCATCCGGGAAGGAAAGAGTTGACTGGCCAGGCGTAGCCGCTGCTGTGAGTGCGAAGCAGCTGCGGAAGATGGTTGAAGTTGACATAGAAGCAACAACCGATCTGCGAAGTCATCTACCACTAGATCGTGAAAGAGGTGTACTGAAGATCTTCCACTGTACGGCGATGCTGAAGGAAGCTCTGTTAGTGTCTGGAAGCCAACCGACAGCGTGTATGCTACCGCGACAGCTCATCTTAGAGGTACTCGACACCATGCATAACGTCTTGTTTCCCTCAGATCGTGAGTCGCAGGCGCTTCTGTCATCGCATGTTGCGAAACACGGTTTCGACGATGATCTCCTGAGATTCGAATCCTGGGATCATTATGGGCATAACGACACGATACTTTCGTATCCCTACTTTGGTAATCGACTGTTGGAGCTCTACGAGGAACTGAAAAATCCAAAACCGCGAACTCGATTGGAGAACTGGTTCGAGCGAAAGAGTGGTGCTCGATACATGCTGATGGCGACGATGATCGGAGTCTTCATCGCGGTAATCATTGGAATCCTAGGTCTCGGGATCTCCGGTTTCCAGGCTTACGTGTCGTACCAGCAGTGGAAACATCCTGTAAAGGATGCATGAATTGAAGACAAGTGTTTCGAACGCGCAACAAGCGGTGACGGACCTGTGGAGGCTTTCCCCGATGGATTTCGGTGATGACACGATGGAGAGAAATGGGATGGTGGGGAAAAATGGGTGGCAGGGAGGAACAAGCGAGATGGCAGCCGCGCCCGCGCACGCGACGCGGCTCCTCAAGATAGCACGTTGATCGTACTACTGTACGACTCACGCACGACAACGACTCACATACTTCATGCATCATGCATCATACACCACTGCGTCCGATACTTCCCTTGAGTGACAAGTATACTGAGTAGGTTCTATCTTTACAACGTATACTATGACTCGGGAGCCGGTCGGGACCCAGGTGCGGAGTGACATTTCCGCGAAACCACCGAGATCCATTAGACGTATAGTCATCCTCATTTTACAAATTGTCGGTCAATGACAAGTGTAACAGTGTTGACAGAAATCCGGTTTGACTTTGTTGAAACTTCCTCAATCATGCGAGGTATCACTGATCAGCTCTTGGCCATCACATCTGGGCAGCACGAGCGACACGAAGCCGGTTAACTACGACACTTGTACGGTTAACTACGGTACATCGTGGAAAAGAAACTCTTCGTATTCGTCTCCACGATATCCGTTAATGCAAGATGTTTCATGGCGATCTCAATAGAGGAATGCAAAGTCCCGAAGCAGCGTCCCCATTACTCGCCAGCCCTCGTATCGCACCCTCGAGTCGCCCTCCAGCTCTATGCAGCACAAACTTCCATCTCCATAGGCGGGATAAAGACCCGACCTATAGGAAGTCTACCCACAAAGGTGACTCGCAGCGATGCGCCGGCACGATCAATTTACGTCTCAACTGCCAATGCCAAGCATTCGCACATAGGCGTCCAACTCCTCCCTTCCAACAACCCGCGCCATCTACCCTCAATGTATATACATTTACCCGCCCTAAGGATCAAGATCTCACTCGGATCTATTCCAAGCCACCCCGTCCTGCACAGCATTCTCGTACAGTATGCCTGGCTCAGTAATCCCTTTGTTAACCCACAATGGCCCTTGCGGCTCGCTTCGCTACTGATTGGCCCGGCTACCGCAGCTCGCGAATCGAGATCCTTTCATCGATGTGCAATGCAGATAATGATAACGGCAGACGGGGCGTTGCGGCACCGGCTAGTCGAGATGTGATAGCGATGATGTGATGATGGTCGTTATCCATGAACGGAGGGTTCCCCGGTGAGCTGGGTTGGACTGCGCAACGGCATGTGATGTTATGCCGTGTCTTTTAGCGTAGGAATGCGGCGTAGTGGTTTGTGATCATTCTTGAGGTGAGAATTCCATGTTCGGGTCGTTAAGAAGTCGATGTCTGGGATAGCCATGTAGTTATCGTGTTTCGAGGTTAGGTTTGCAGGAATAGTCGTACGATTGCGCCGCCCCAAGCCGAACCATTGAGAACAACGTATGATAATGCATCGGGTAGATACATGCGATTTGTTGAGTGAGGTCATTGAAGCGCAGTGTTGGATTGTATGATTGATTTATTTGATTCGTCGCGCGTATCCGCAGTGTTTAGGGTTAAGTGGTTGCTACTATAGAGCACTAGCTACATGCATCGGGTTATAGTTGTACAAGGGTATGGCGGTAATGGAGAAGCAGAACAACGCGAACAAGAAGAGGTTCATGCAATGCAGTGCGACTAGGTATCGTAGACGACCATGCGAAATAGAGGAAATAAGGTGCTTTTGGTATTAAAAGACCACCACAAGAGACAGAATGAATGAAACACGTATACAGAATTCCAGTAACATAAACAAGGAGAGCGAAAGATCCAACTCCGACTGTATCCATAAGGAAAGTGGGTAACCAGTTACCGCGGGGTGCCAACATGCAGGTATTGAACAAATACCGCCTTCGCCAAAGGAAATGTCGCTAAGGGGGTATCGCAACCAAATCATCCTCCATGAATGTCTCGTATATGCTCTGTAGATCGTGGGTATATCTCGGTAAATGTGTGAAATGATGCAATGCGACGGCACCCTAATAACCATGGGGCGCGTTAGATGTGTACTTTTGCTCGGGGGCGTACTTCTGGTCCGTCACGTAATAAGAGTGAGGATGGGGAGCCGCAGGGAATTGCGGCGCGTTGAATGGCTGCACGGCTACAGGCGCTGAAGCCCTCCTTTGTTGGTCGGGTTGCGATCCGGGGACCTGAGCGTGATGAGGACCGACTGGCGAGTCTTGGGAGGGCAAGGCATGAGCGTCGAAGCCCGCGGACTGAGGCAGAGCGTACGGAGCAGGTTGCGGCGTCTGGTATGCCGAGGTGGGCTGAGTGTACGAGGTCGCTGATGTGGCCGACGGAGGGTCGAAAGAGTAGTGACGCGCAGACTGTGGTTGCGGCGCGTAGTGCGAGGATGGTGCAGCGTGTGAGGAGTACTGAGAGCTTGCGGAATGTGGGGAAGAATATTGCTGGGGGGATGGCGGATGCGTGTAGTGCTGCGACGGAGGCTGCTGGACGGAGTATTGATGTGCCGGTTGGTGGGCCGAGAATGGAGGCGCGGCATAATGTTGGGGGCTGTGGTGGCTAGAGCCATACTGGGACACCTGAGGCCCATGCCAGTAGTCGGGAACTGTTAGGTGGAGAGGAGCATGTGTCTGGAGCTGGCCCTGTGCGCCGATTGACTGGGTAACAGCTCCAATAACGTGGTGCTGGACATGGCTGGGCTGGATGTGGTGCGGGTAGCCAGCTACCAGGGGCATGTCTTTGCTCTCTTCATCTTCAAGGCTGACCTTCCAGCCATTCAGAAGCTCCGGTCTTGGCTGAATGTCGGCTAGCTTTGGGTCCTGGAATGGTCGCTTCAACTTCCCGCTGACGACGTCCTCGAGACTGTAGTAGGATATGACGTGGTGGTGGGTACCCTGGTACTTGACTGAGATGGTCTTCTTCATCAGACCGCCCTCCTTGAACTCATAGCTGTCGATGAGGGAGCCACAGAATCGTCGCTGTTGGTCGGGCGTCAAGCTTTGGGCGAAGTTGGCGTAAACCTTGTTCATGGAGTCGACATCGCCTGGCAGGGACGCGTCGAAGGCTGAGGTCTCGTATTCGTCCTCGGAGTTCTCCAACACTTCACCAGTCTTTGACCTCATTGGGCCGTTGTTCTCCTTGCGCTTCCTCTTGGTACCGCACGATGGGTTGAGGGCCGACTTCTTCTCTTCAGGCTTCAAAGCTCGCACCAGCTGGCGATATATGAGGCAGTTGTTCATCACCCGACTTGGGGACCAGTGCACAGCATCGGTCCATCGTTTGATACCGGAAGCGTTCTCCTCGTACACCAAGACGGTTCCAGAAGTGAGCATCTCTGCGCGTTCCTTATCATGCGGCCTGCGGCTGATGTGGCTGAGACGGCCTTGAAGTGCGGCCTCCACAACGGTCATGGCATCTTTGGTGGTATCGAGAAATCCCTGCCACGTGGGCTTGAAAGCCGGTTGTGCTTTGACCATGTTACCTGTAACCTGGGGCCTTGGTGGTGGTGGTGTGCTAGTTGCGGTCGAGAGGACGCGAGATGTAGCGATAGACTGA